TTTTTTAAAACCTGGTAAAATGTAATTCGTACATGTGACAGGATTCATTAGTAAGCACGCGTGACAAAACTGAGTCATGATTTTCAATAGGGAATAGAATGATTTTTACATTTAAAAAACAGCAAGAAAATGTCAACATGTCAACATCATCATAATTCATACTCAAATTCAACAAGAGTTCCTCGGAACTGTATGTGTCGCCTGCATAAAGTGTCACGGTCACCCAGAAATTGAACTGGATGTGCAACGATCAACCATAAAGTTGTAATACCAAATTTCATTTCTATAACTTGAAGCATAACCAAAGAAAGTCAAGAAAACAATATTCCCAGAGAATTTTCTAAGTTCAAAGGGGCATAACTCAGCCAAGAAGGGTCACAGACAGCCAGGAATCATATTTATTTGTACCCTTGCAAAAAGAAGCCATATACCAAATTTCATTTCGATAACTCAAAGGATAAGCCAAAGAAGTCCGGAAAACAATATTCCCAGGAAATTTTCTAAGTTGAAAGGGGCATAACTCTGCCAAAATTTGTCACAGACAGGCGGGAATCAAAATTAATCTGTACCCCTGCAACAAGAAGCCATATACCAAATTTCATTTTAATAACTCAAATCATTACCGAAAAAAGTCCGGAAAGCTTTCGTACGGACGACGCCGCCGACGACGACGACGCGTGACGACGACGACGCGTGACGACGGACAAAGTGATCCCTAAGTGTCCGCCAGCTCTGCAGGCGACACAATAAAAGTAGAGCAAACTATAAAAAAAACCAAAAGAAAGATTTACAGGAGACTCATGAGAAAGTACATGGAGTACATGTTCCGGAAGAATAAGCGTCTTCTGCTCCACATGTCTGGATGTGACATCGTTAGAGAGGTGACAAAATGGAAAGTACAGGATAGTTTAACAGGCGAAAACATACATGTATCATGACATTTGTTGACAGTGCTGGTAAATAGGGGAGAAAATGTGGAATAAAGAGGCAACATACTGTCATTTACATCAAGAGGACATCACAGTCATGATCAAAGTGCATGGCGGGCTCAAAACTTCTTAACCACCAAAAAACTTTGAGATAACCGGCAAACGACAAGCACATACTAAGCGTGATTTTCGAAGAGCTGCATTTTATGTAGGACCAGTGTTTTTTGTAACTTGTTTCGATTTACTCTTCTGAATGTCTCCTGTTCGCAGATGTTGCCAAAAGGAATATGGCAGGGCTATAGAGACAATAAAAACAGACTTCTGTTACCAACATATCGTTTGATATCACATACCATTAAAAACCCATGTGAGTACATTGAAGGGAACGACACCATTATCAAACCACGCAGTAGAACAGTAGAAGAACACGGGAGCTTGGGTCCATATGTAATCTTTCTATGAATTTGTTTTATTTTTATGAATAATAATGAAACAGTCCTTCATACCGAGATATCAACTGTAGAAAAATGTCAACAATGTAAAGGACGAATTTTTAAGAATCAACTTGGGGAAATGATTCATTATTGTTTTTATGGATAAAGGCGCATTTCATTTCAAATATATAGGAATTGGAGGAAAAACGCTGTCTGAAGCCGTTTTTATTTTCTCTCTTTTCCTCGTTTTTATAACTTTTGAAAAATAACTTTCTCAAGAGAGAAAATGGTTTATACAACATACATTCATTGTGAAACCTATATTTACCGAGAGATTATACCTCTTTCGAAACACCGTAAGAGATAGTCAGAAATGGGCATTTCAAGCTTAGTTGATATGATAAATATGAAAGAGTGATTCGATTTATTTAGAAATCAGATCAGTAGATATACGTGAGTACTTACAATCTCGCAAATATTTTTTACTCAACCTTTCATGTATTTCCTTTGTTTGCAGAAAAAATTGTTATAAACAAAATTTTACTGTGTATCTGGGACCGCTTTTGTTCTTATTGGTCACGGACTAGCTCTCGTTCAATTTCCGGCACATATAGCGTTGCATTTGGCTGGCATTCCGTCATAATTCATTTCCGCTCATTTACTCCGCTTTAAAAGGTAGGCATTTCTACGTGTAATATGGTAAATAGGACAACTTAGCTGTAAGCATTTAAGATAAATCTAGGTTTACATGGCGGGTGTCGTCGATGAAGCAGAAAACACTTACTCTTCTGGAACACCTGGTCTTATTCAATCATTGGTCAATCATTATTTTGTTCATGTTTTCCCCTAATTGCTCTGACACATTTATCTATCTATTGTTTTATTTATCTGTTATTATGTTACTGTTTTTTTTGTTTTTGTTTTTTTTTTTTGGGGGGGGGTATTTATTTATTCATTTTCATTTTTTATTTATTTATCTGGTTATTATGTGTGTTTTTGTTTTTGTTTTGTGTTTTCTTTATTTTTTTTTAACGAGAAGACTTTCAGCAAAATATTGATAATTTTGATGTTTTGACGAGGTTATTCTTGCTTAAATAACTTACTCAACATTCGTTATAAAAAAAAAGTCTCATAAAGGTGATGAAATATATATCCTGACATTTGATGATTTTTGGAGGGGTTGAGGATCCAGTTTATAGAACGGATATTGTTGTGTATAGATATATATACACGTACCTATGGAGGCGTGAGAATGATTAGATACACTGATTTTGATCTATACCATCCAGTCTACTCTTCCTTGTCTTTCTACCTTCTAAGCCCAGCACATATGGTCTTCTGATCTTAGTGAGGCGTGGCAGGAATCTAAATTACCGATACTTAACCATCTTTACTGGCGATAACTCCAGTGATATATTGGTCTGTGGGAAACGTTTTTACATACAGACCCACCATCAAAATAGATAAGAATGCAACTTCTTTAAATCTAACAATTTTAATTCAAATTGAAAAAATGTATATAACCAGTTTATTTCGTTTAGTTAATTCCTTTTAATACTTTAAAGTCTTTTACCATTCTGTGAGATTTTTTATTTGTTCTGAATTAAAGTAGCAGCAAGTTTTGTTAAGAATTCACATACAAGTTTGTCGTTCGGAACATCTTGAGTTGCTTCATATTCACACGTGCATTTGTACTGCATAAATCACGTGCATTTGTACTGCATAAATCACATGCAATTTGACAACTATGCGTATATATACAAATTACTCAGCATCAAACTGCTCGAATTTTAAACTAAAATGTCTGTTTCTATTACCAAAGAAATATCGGTAAATACATTGAAGAAAATATTGGTTGTTTGAGATTAGGAAGTTCTTTAGTTCCATTACTGCGCATGCGTTTATCGTGTTGTTTGTTATTAGTGTTACTCTGAATACATACATATATATACATTAACAAGGCAGGATCGTACAGCGTCCACGAAATTCTGAATTTCGCATCGTATACAATCAGTATGAAACGATCATTTCAGAGAAAATTTGAAAATATCTTATTTTCTTATTTTATCATATCATTGATATTTTTCAACGAATACATAGCTAGGAGAACAAGTTGTAATAGTTAAGATAATTATTCTAGCTTAAGTTTCTGACACCCATACTTCAATGACGCCATACTAAAGTATGGACTGAAATCATTACAATGTAGTGTTGAATGTTAGGTCTATTTCATGGTCATTGATTCATTTTCTCACGTGACTATTTCATGGTCATTGATTCATTTTCCAACGTGACTATTTCATGGTCATTGATTCATTTTCTCACGTGACTATTTCATGGTCATTGATTCATTTTCTCTTGTGACTATTGAATTATCATTGATTTATTTGCTCACGTGACTATTTCAGGGTCATTGATTCATTTTCTCACGTGACTATTTCATGGTCATTGATTTATTTGCTCACATGACTATTTCATGGCCATTGATTCATTTTCTCACGTGACTATTTCATGGTCATTGATTCATTTTCTCTCGTGACTATTTCATGGAGTGCTAATTACATGCTCTAATTGTACATATTTATCATATTTCAGCAGGTTTTGGTGATTACGCTGATAACAGTATATGTGTGTGGATTATAAAGCTATAACTATGGTTACGCTAATAGCAGTATCTGTGTGTGGATTATAAAGCTATAACTATGGTTACGCTAATAACAGTATCTGTTTGTGGATTATAAAGCTATAACTATGGTTACGCTAATAACAGTATCTGTTTGTAGATTTTAAAGCTATAACTATGGTTACGCTAATAGCAGTATCTGTGTGTGGATTATAAAGCTATAACTATGGTTACGCTAATAACAGTTTCTGTGTGTGGATTATACAACTAGCACTATGGTTACGCTAATAACAGTTTCTGTGTGTGGATTATAAAGCTATAACTATGGTTACGCTAATAGCAGTATCTGTGTGTGGATTATAAAGCTATAACTATGGTTACGCTAATAACAGTTTCTGTGTGTGGATTATATAACTAGTACAATGGTTACTGATAGCGTCAAATTAAGAAACATTTACAGAAGTAATTTTTAAATAAAGTTTCATTTAATGTTCAGTATCAAACTTAATAGACATATAACCTTAATTAATTTATTATGAGAAGGTGACGTCAGCACGAAGTCTCAATTATGCAGGTGTCTGTTTTGACAATGTATGACTGAACTGATTTTTCTCCTTTGGGTATATAACGTCTCCTGTATCAGAGGAACTGGGCGGGTTTCATAGGCTCCACGTGTGAGAGGCTATCTTCATTAGTCAATTGAAAATCTCGCGCACACGGTTCGGTTTTAGCGATAAGGAACCACATATGATAACTCTACACAGCGAATACTGTGAATTCTCTACGTTTTAAAACACAAAACTTACTCTTAAAATGTGAAGTTAAGTGGCTGGATTTTACAGGGTTTTCACTTGAAAATGTGTTAATGGATTTAACCGTTTGAGGTTTGTAAACAGAAAAAAAAAAGGAACAACTTTTTCCTGTGTGAACAATTTTCGGTAAGAATTAATTGCTTGTTGTATTGGTGACTTCATTTGCTGAAACACAATAACGGCACAGGATTAAACTTTGTGAACTTTTAATTACATTTTACTTCCTACTGTGAACCAGTCAGGAGGTCGACGGAAATATTAGGTTCGCATGATAAAATAAGACCATTGGATTGAACTTGCTGACCTTTACTCGCGCGCTCTGCACGAGACTAGCATATTGTGTTACGTCACAGTGTTGCATGAGCCTGCATTTCTCGACGGTTATATATGAAACACCACACCACATGTCTAGTGTTATATGGTCTGGTCAATATAGCGGCCATTAGCCAGACGGACAATTGACGTTTGATCAACATATCTAAACGTGTCTAATGTAAGGAAAGAAAAAGCAAAGACGAAGCATCAGTTTCTGACTATGGCGGTTTATGCCGATTTGTTATTGTTATTGTTGAAGTGAAGTCAAAGTGAATTTGTGTTCGTAAAATCAGAAACTATAACAAATTTTACGTTTGTATGTGATTTACATAAACTGTGTGACTAAAGTTGGGCTATATGAGAAAATGATAGGATACAGGATGTACATCCACATGTGTTACACAAATCATGTGTAAAACGAACACGTTCTGTCTAGAGAGATGTCAGAAGGTTGTGTTGCGTTTGTACACGGTCTGTGGGCTACTGAAATAATTAGACTGCCATCCTCACCAACCGACTCCTAGATCTGCGTGTGGTGATAAGTCTCATCTAGCGAAGTCAGATATATATACACCGGCAAAAACATCAGCCTCGGAATGCTGTGTTGATTACTGTTAGAATGTGTTTTCCCCCCTTTTGGGCCCCTGAAACGAAATGCAGAAATGAAAGCTTAGCTTTACGATCGGTTTACTCATATAGGACCAACTACGTCACACACGGCCCGAATAAGGGTAACAATATACTCAGAAATTGATGACGTAGTACACATTACAAGTGCACTAGTTTGGAAACATCGGAGTGGATATATTCTGGAAAAGACATATGAGAAAAAGTGTAAAGCTACGAAGAAAAGAGAATAGAATAACCGCCATCTTGGAATCCTGTGAACGTGATCAAGGGCGCTGCCGGGGAAATTTCGAGAAAAAGTTTGAATAATTGTGCTGTGATAGTTTGGGGATTGTACGTGTAGCAATATATCAAGATGAGTGCAGGCGGTAAGGAAGAAAACCTAGAGGTGATATGTAATGTGTGTGACAATTTTGAATGCCATGTGTTCAAGAAAAATGTGTGTCGAAATTGTTTTCATAGTAAGGAGGAACATGTTGCCAGTAATGGCGACACGGAAGTGTTACCAAGGAAACAGGACATCAATCAACCATTCGACGACACCGGTAAGTCAAAAGACCTAAACTTATTAGGAGATAAAAACAGGCCAAAAAGTGTCATCGGAATAAATAAATCGTCGTCGGACATTTTGAAAAAATCGACAGAAAACTTGAAAGATGTGTCTGATATTAAAGTAGATTCCAAAAATAAAGGAAAACCACCAGAGACAGCACCTAAATCCAAACCTCCCGAGACGGCCCCCAAAGCTAAGACACCAGGTAAATTGGTGACAGGTGCGTTAAGCGTGAAGGAGAGATTGGAACAAAAACAGAAATCTGGTACAGGAATATCGTCAGATTCTAGCAAGAAACCTGCGCAGAGCACTGAGCCAGAGGTCAAAGGTAATGTGTCATCATTGGTGACGTCACAGGGTTCAAAGAAGCAGACGACAGCAGATAATAAAAGCTCTTCAGTAGAAACATCAGACTCCAAACCGGGAGAGAAGACTGACGGGAGTAAGAAACAGGGGCTGACAACAACTAAGGTTTTCACAAACTCAAAGCTAGCGGGAAGTTCCCTGCTTTCGCAGGATAAGGGACTGTTATCAAACTTAGGGAAGAAACAGTCTCTGGATAAAAAGGACGGAGGATCACAAGCACAGGCTAAGGACAGCAATACATTCGACAAGGTTTCTTCAAAAACATCCACAACAAAATCGGAGGAGAGTAGTAGCAAAAAAGTGTCCCTTACTTCATCAAGAGCAGACGACACTAGTAAAGTAAAGCAGTTAGCGGCAAAATCTGAGGAATTAAGCAGCAAGACCAAACAAACTACAGCAAAATTTGAGGATAAAGGAAAGGTGACCACTTCTAAAACAGAGGAAATTTCAAATAAATTCAAGCAATTGAGCAGTAAATCGTTTTCAGGCAGTAACAAAGACGGCCAGTCGGATGCCAAGTTTAATAGCTTAGGTCGCAAGAAGGCGGGAGTTAAAGATAAGTTACCCAGTGATACAGCGACAGACGATAGCAGCGCAGGTAGTAGTAATAAGTCCCCGTCGTCAAAGGAACAAGGCATTTCGCACCGGTCTACGTCAGGATCAAGCAGCGCTGCAACAACAACAGATAAGCCTACAGCACAACCGATCCCTGGCGTAAACAAATCAGCCACTAGTAGTTTGTCTTCGCGCTTTGGCGGGAGCAAGCATGGGACAACTCCGGTCAAAACATCCGAGGCCGTCCAAAATGGAGAGGCGGGGAAAGAGAAACTTGAGCTTCTTACAGCAGAAAAGGCCAAAGTAAATGAAGAATTAGACTTACTGAGGAAAAAATTAAACGACATGGAGGGGAAATGTCAAATTCTCGAAAGCGAGAACAAAAAGCTAAAAGACGGGATGACGGAGAAAGAAATGGAAGAAAACAAGGTTTTAATGGCAAAACAGGATGTTGAGAATGTGATCGTGGGACTTAAAAGCGAGTTAACATCAATGGAAGGGCGATGTCAAAAACTGGAAAAGGACAACACCTTATTATCGGACAGACTCAAGGAACAACATATACAACAACAACAACACCAGGAACAAAATATCGCAAACCATGACGTCACAACTGAAATAGCGGACATGGAACAACAAGTTGACGCATCGGAAGCTATCGTATCAAATCTTAAAGACGAAAACGATGAGCTACGTCTAGAAATCCAAGAACTTAAAGTAGAAATGGATGAAATGTATGACAGTTTCCGTGATCAGGAAGCCGAGGAATTCCGAGATTTACAGCGTGAATTGGAAATTACCGCCAAAAATTGTCGTATCCTTCAGTTTAAATTACGCAAAGCAGAACGTCAGAATGAAAGCGTCGAAGCAGATCGCATTCAGTATGAGGACAAACTTCGGACGTTACAAAATCAGTTCAAGGACGACGATGCACGTGCCCATATACGATCGATTGAGCAGGAGTTACAAATGGCGAAGGAAGTGTCTGTTCGTTTACACGACGAATTAGATATCATGGAAGATAGGAGATCCAAGGTTGAAGAAGAAAATTTGCATCTCACGGACATTCTGGAGAAATCCGATAAAAAACAGTTTCGCCTGGAAATGGAGATAGATAAATTAAAGGATAAAGTAAGTATATATGTGTGAAGCACGTGAAACACTAAACAAATATTCAATGTTTCTGCATCCCCTTTCATTCTAAGTAGTCTAATCGATTTAAGAGATAGAGATTTTTTTTAAATGAACAGTTTTCAAAGAAGCCTTTATATACTTTATGAGTGTTGTGTAGTTGAAGCGCGGTATTTTTTTGCTTTCGGTACGGGTTTTGGTACGCACGTCTCGCGTACCGTTGGGACTGGTTTGTGAATTTATATATTCCATAAAAAGATGATATTTAGAAGTGTCTATGGTCAAAACATCTGACGATTTATTTTCAAACCCAGTTGTATGATATCTTGAAATCCAGAAGTCCGATCTACATAGAAAATGGACAAGGAATAATGACGTATTTATACTGTTTGAACTATTCAATGAAATATGGCCTTTTGTCAGTGTATCAAGGAAGGTGTGTACACCAAACTAGATGACGTTATATAGAAGCCTTCCTGTATGACGAATCAAATGCTAACGTAGATCTATTTATACCACTTGACAGCATGCCGCCATTTTGTGTGTGTTTAATGCATCTACTAATGTTTTAACAGCTTAGATTAGGACAATTAAAGTTAGGTTCGTGGTTCAGGTCTCGGTATTTTGTACTTTATAATATATTACTATACTTCTGCCTTATTTTTTTCTTTTTGTTTTGTTTATTTTTCGTTTTTGAAGATTTTGTCATTTATTTTTTTTATTTTTGTCATGTTGTTGTTTATTTGTCAGGTAGAACATCGTTTTGGTCGGAAAGAATATTTAATTCATGAAAATATGTTCTAATAATGTTAAAGAAACTTTACGTACTAATGATTAAGTCACATGTGTGAAATAGCCATTAAACGTTACACGTGCATATACAGGGTATATGTGTATGTAATGGTAAAGTCACATACATGTACACATGGTGTGTCTATATGCAAGTAAGCAACACGTACATAAAAGGAAAAAATATCGAGGTATGCAAAATTTTCAGAAACACTGACAATGTTTTAATATTCAATGTAACTACTGGGAAGAACTAAAAGAGAGTTATTCACTTCCTCCTGGTTAAATGCTGTCCGCTTCCAACCGACACGGAGAGGAAATATTCTCCCTATCTCTTTTGGTAAAGCGTCAGATAGGTAAACCAGATGTTCCGGGTTCGATCCCGCACGGAAACGTTCGGATATAATGACCTCTCGTGCAAAAGATTAAAAAGTAGGATAATCTTATGCGTGTATAGGGAAATACATAAAGACACTGTCTCCCACCGTTAAAAACATCTACGATTTACTAAGTTCGCGATTGTCATGTCAGAAGTTGCGAGAGGCGCTGACATGCACACGTGCTGTGCGTGTTCGCGAGGTATAGCATTTCACCAGATAGCAAGTGTGCATTTCGGACATATGGTTGTAGTTATTTATCAGAGCTTATAACAACACACACATGTGGTATGTGTTATAGAGATGTGGTTTGTCCTCTAGTGCTCTAGAGGACCAAACAGCAGATACCTTACATAATATTTATTATCACTGTATCTCGCACTGTATCTCTTTCACGGGACCAAGTGTAAACAACAGAATACTGATATATTAATAAAATCGTAATATCGTCTTGAAATCATTAAGTCGAGGGAAAAATTAACACTTGAAAAACTTGTGAAAAAAATATAATTAAACTGAAAAATTGGTGTTTCTGAAGGATAAGCACATTCTGCTTCATCGACAAGAACTTCCACTGGCATGTAAATCTGTATCATTCAAGTAATGCCATGTTCTCAAAAATAGAAACGGGTTGATAGCAACGAAACCACTACAAACTATTGAGCGAAGAGTTAATCAGTAGTATTTGTCTACTACCTTTTCTTCTCCTAGGCTGAGATAAAACAAAATCGGATCCCCAGATAGAGACAGACCATTTTACCTTTTATATTAACACTTTAGGATTTTAAGTGAAAAATAAGATCTCCCATATTGTACTTAAAAGTTGGATTGACCTCTGTTCCATTTCGGTAAATATTTATATCCTTGGTTAATAAAACAATCTAATTACTTAACGTTAAGTGATGATTCTTTACTGTTTAATAGATATCGCGTCATTTTTGCGAAAATTTTACGAGCGTGTGAATTCATTAAAAAAACGCCAATGCACGTAAATGTTCTTCTCTTGTAAAGTGAAATCATCACATATATCTGTGCCAGTAAGAATTAATCACAAACATTTATACGTCTTCTACAAGCCATTTCTGTATCTGAAAACAGTACTCCTGACTGCTTGTTTCCCTTGACCAGTTAACCTACATATTAACCTTAGTCGCAATCAAATTTGAAAATTGGACGCTTGTTTGGCTTGTCTTCAAAGCAACCCTCCCTCACTTTGGAGGAGGAAATGTTGGCGTATTTCTCTAGATCTTAACAGCACGCGCTGGCATTGGCTTGATGTCAACACCACTTTAAAGTATAAAAATAATATCCTTCATCTTGAGTTTGTATCTTTTGACGAAAGAGGTTCCAAAGTATCTGTTTCATTACGGAGTAATGAGACTCGTGTTAACATATATCATTTCCGGAAAAACGAAGCTCTTCTGTTTTTTATTTTAGAAGTATCGTGAATATCTCAATCCGGAGTTGCGATTTTCCTTGTATTCTTGTATTCTGTTTAAGTTGGTCGAAGGAGTTTGAATTTCAAATATTCGTTCTAGACTGGCGATATAAGCTACCATCTCAGGTATTTTGTCTCAGATTAACGATATCTCCGTATAAATAATTAATTTAATCCGTAATTACACGTTCCGACAAACATTCAAAGAAATTCAAAATCTTTCACAAGCCTTCCGATTCGTTCTAGCGATGTAGGCCTCACTTTTATTCAAAATATTTTATTAAAGAATAATAGTAAAGAATTATAGGTACTCCTTAAAACTTTTCCGTAATGAAGTACACCTTAATACGAACAATGTTCCGCTTTATATTTGATTGGGGACTGTCGAGGAGGACAACCTAACACGGTTCCTGTGTAAACTGAACAATCTATCGAATCTTTACTGACATGGTTCCGCCTTCCCGTGTTGTTTCAATGTTTGTTAAAAACAAACAAATAAACAAATTGCTTCACAACATAGCATTTCAATTTAATTTTTTTATAAAAACATATGATCTTTAGTCTGTTCCCATGGCAACCGTAGTTATGGAAACGTTCGTGACGAAACTATTAAAAGGTTATTTTTAGAGACGGATGCACCATGACTAAGAATATATTTCGATACAATTAATAACATGCTCATGCGTCACTTGGCTTCAAGAACAAGTGTACATGCTTAGAAGTCAATTTTGAGTGTTCAGATGATATGTAAAAACTATGTATTGGTTCAGTATATGTAGTGAAAATTCGTTTGTCCGAACTCCATTGATCCGGAATAGGAAGTCAGTTTTGAGTGTTCAGATGATATGTATAAACTATGTATTGGTTCAGTATATGTAGTGAAAATTCGTTTGTCCGAACTCCATTGGTCCAGAATATGAAGTCAGTTTTGAGTGTTCAGATGATATGTATAAACTATGTGTTGGTTCAGTATATGTAGTGAAAATTCGTTTGTCCGAACTCCATAGATCCAGAATTACAACTGTCAGTACATAATTCAAGATCAAGGCGTAGTTCAACATTTACTATTACAATGCACCGTAGCTTCTAAATACAGAGGCCGTGTCACTAAGGCTTCGGCGTATTTGTAACTATAGACATGTAAAAAATAGGAAACTAAACACTATGTCTTTTAGTAACAGGAAAACATACTTAAAGCACACGCATATATGTCTCTAAAGCAGTCAACCAAATATCATAGGTGACTGTAATACTTCTGGATGATTGTGCCTGATCAAACCGTCTTTCTTAATGTCAATCTAGAGTATTTTTATTTAATTTTGAAGTTCAAGTTTTCATTTTTGTTCTCTCGTTAATGAACGATGTAACTTATAAATAACGCTTCCAAAATAACCTAGAAGATATTGTAATGCATTCGGTTCTAGACCCACGCAGGTTATAGCTAACAGACCTAGAGTACTTGGATGTGTCCCTCCCTACCACCTTTGTCTATTTACGATAATTGGTAACACACACAATAGTTTACTACCATACTTACTGTAAAGCCTGTATCTTAGGACTGGTACGTTATTGGTATAGTAATTCACAGACGTAACAAGCTCGCTTTCGCTTCGTTACCCCCATACCGTTTACCGTAGACAGAACTATTATAAACCCAAACTATCTCGAATACAAGACACTTTACCGAATTAATAATGTTTATTCGCTTCGTTATGTGCCGAAATTGTAATTCCTAAAATAGGAATCAGAAATACTTTAAAATTAAAAGAATTTAAAAAGAATCGCCGCACAATATATTTATAACTTTATACAGCTGGTAACTAACCATACTTTTCTTTCTTTAATTTCACGTGTAAACACACATCACGTGCATCACTAACAGATGCCAAACACATGCCCGCTCACAGAGTGGTCTTGGTGCAGTTCCAATATGTTCCAATAACGGAAGGTCGTCTTAACATGAAGCCATATTATTCTTACTTTATTATATCTAAGTTGATCCTAACATTGTTTGCAAAGCTTAGTTCCATTAACATCGACATATAAGGTTTTTGTATTTTCATCTGCGTTCTTTGCTGGTCATCTTTGTAATATATACAGGGTCTACTTAGTGAATATTTTCATTGTTGGAGCTGACTCCACTTTGGTTGGTGAATTGTATAAAAACCTGTTTTGATCTATCCTTGCACTGTACGAGAATTCATGACACACAAAATGAACTTTTTATCAACAAAAGTAATATAATATATTATAATAAAATACAATATGATATATTATAATAAAATACAATATGATATAATTTTCCATATTTAAGGATGAACTGTAGTTTAAATGTGTTCTAGAAATGACATTAAAGAAAGAAAAAAAACATTTTCTGTTACTTGTAAATAATTAGGTAACGGTTGCATCCATCCTTGAAATTTCTGGGGTTACGATCTCTCATATTACGATCGTTACACTTGGTGGTTTAAGATTGGCTGCGTTCATATTTTCGAACTCTTTCCGATAAATAAAGAAAACGGGAAACAACTCGGACCTTTCCGTCATTCTAAGGAATGAAACGGGAAGACCCGAGTGAGTAACCGATTAAGAAAGTACATGATCAGGATAAAATTAGAACCAGAAGCTAAACCAGATTTCACCAAACATAAACTGGGATTTAAACTAAATAGACATGTGTTTTTATGGTCGACGAACATTCTGATAGAACATGCATTTTACACATTTTTACACATAGCTAAATACAAAGCTTAATGTAAAATGTCGATCTACTCGAAACACATTAGGTGCTAGACTGGCGAAAAGCCCCAACGTTTTTGTATAGAAATGCTCTTCTACTTTCTTATATTAGCCTTTTTCACCATAGTTTGAAACTTTATCTGAGGGACCAAAATGATAAAACACAATTTCCTTTTAATTTTGATTTTAGACACAGGGGCCAGTATAATTAGGTGTACGCGCCCCCTTTCCAGGGCCTCTTTTCTCAGTGATAGTACATATACACTGTATCATTATGATTCTGTGCAGATGTGTCTCGATAATATCTATAAATATTATGATGCTCTTTTTACATAACTTGCTACATCTCATAATGTACATATGGATTCAGCGATAGAACGGCGTGAAGCAATTTCTGGAAGCGTCAAGAGCACCGAATCAGAACGAGTCTCTCTAATTTGTTGCTCTTACGACAACAATTTTGAACACATGTACATACTATAGATAATGGTTAACCATTGTGCCACACCCTAGTCATAATGCATATATTTTATTATGTCCCGCCATTTTATTGGGAGGGGTGGAGGTTGGGCTGGGGGATATTGTTTCAGACGTTTCCAAATCTTATCTTACTGTTAGTCGGCTAATAAAATCGCTCTTCGTCCGTTCTTCCGCCCATCATTAGAGAGGCATCCATCTTGGTTTTTTCCTGGAGTAGTGTAGGATGGATCATTTTAAAATTTCACAAGTAGGTTCACTTTGGTTCTCAGCTGTGCATAGTACATTTTTGGTCCTATCGGAAAAAAACAAGATGGCCGACAGGCGGTTTGATACAAACGGTAATAGTAATAGTAATCGTGGGCGCCAAGATCCCTTAGGTAATCAGAATGTTATATTCCTGGTAAACAAATAAAATACGATAAAAAATATTATATTCAGCGTAATTTGAAATATGAAGTCAAGATTCGTGTTCAATAAAATATCCTAATACTGCCTTTTGATTCAGTTTAAAGCAGCTTTTTTCGAATTCTTCTTTCACGTTTTAACATCACCCGCCAAATATATAAATAACGAACATCCCATGTTTGGTGTAATACATTTCATGTAAAGGCTTATGAAAGTGGTCCTTCTTTTGCAAGAATCCACAGTTTTAGATAGGATTTCATCATTACCCGTAGTTAGTGTGAACACATATTCACGACATTAATAGTTGTATGAATGCCATCACTTTAACCAGTTTTATTTTATGTTTTTGACATTAGTTACAAGTATATATTATATTATAAATACCTCAGTAACCAGACATTGCGAATTTTCTGTTGGTGATTTATATCATTTTTACTGTTTAATATTATTTTTTTCATTTTTTTATTAACTTAAACAATCAAAACCACGTTTTCTAGAATAAAAATAAAAAAAGCACGGGTAACATTTAAGAATTATCCATCAGTCTATCATTTTAATGATTGACACGTGTTTTAAGACGATTTTGTTCAATTTTTTTCAGATCGTAGATCTACAGAATCAGCTCGCCAATAGACCCGACAGGGAAACTTCTGCTTCTGATGACGTCACAGAGAGAAACGTAAGTTATTTCTTTGTATTTACCATTGTATGGCACGATGTAACTTTACAAAAGTCAGTTGTGAATTACCAGCTCATGAACTGTTACCAGCGTAGGAATAGTGCAAGTAATGTAATCAAATTGAGATTGTCTCCCCTTACGATGAGAGGAAAATTGAAAACGGTTAATAGAAGCATTGAACTACTTTCACTAAGCATTCATGAGCATATGAAAGCCAACACGATAAAATGAAATTCAACTTGAAACGCTTTATTGAATTGACCCTTATCCTGTGTTGGCATTCATATGCCCATCAATGCCAACTGAAAGTAGTTCACTGCATAAATCCTGTGCACTTCTTTGTACTTGTGCTGTGTGGCACACAAAAGTAAGACAAAGCAACTTACATAACAGACAAGAACTATTACGTCATTACGACCATGTCGACTGTTAACAACATTTTGGTTTCCATATGTTCTGTTAAGGACCAGATAATTTGATTCGTTCAGATATACCTATCATATTTATGATATAAGTAGACATTTCACAAAGATTGATTAAAATCAGGAAAAGATGACATCCGTCTTCGGCGTACAAAGCGTGAACTGTGGAAAGCTCGCCCTTTCAGAATATCACGGGAAAAGATATCATAACGAATTTGTTTACAGAAAAAAAAGTTCCATTTTAATTTTTGAGATATTAAATTGACAGAGGATCTTGTGTTTATTACCAGGAACATCATCTTAGTCTTTAGAACTCTTATCTCGTTCATCAGTTTAGTTTTCTTCAGATCTTATCGCCGACTTGACCTAAATAAACTTGTCAGTAGCTGCAGACTGGTTGACTTACCTTGTCTTCCTATATCAACACATTCTTTTGTTCTTCACAAAATGGGGCAACCAAAAACATTCCATGGTATCTGTGACCGAAAAAGTCCTTTAAGATGAAGGTCAGAGGTCTAAACATGTATGACATCGACCTATTTTTTCCGCGTGACAACATTCTTCCAAAAGATTTTACATGTGCAATTAATTGTTATTGACAAACATTTCAGAGTATGTTCAGACAAATGACATTTTCTAGATGACCTGCTTTTTTTTTTTTTTTTTTTTTGTTTGTTTGTAAATTAAGCATTTATCAAAAACATTCTTGCGACATATTATCTATAAAACTACCATCTTTGAAAGGCACTGGATCAAAGTTGAAAAATTAAAACGCCACAATACCTTTTCCAGTATTATTTGCAGTTCTTAAAATGTATATTGTATCGACATGAGCCTAACCTCTAATGTATTTCACATCCCGCTTGTATGTGTTGTCATATCTTCCACAAAAAACACCACATAATGAATTGAAAAGAGTTCGGCCTGTAGAATCTCGTTAATATGTGTCTAGTTGAATCCCGTTAACCCTGTTAATACGAATCATATTCCGTAGAACCATGTTTAAGTATTTGCTGTAGAATCTCATGTATTTACAGTAGAATATCGAACATCAGAAATATTTACACTAAGGTGTCGAATATGAGAAATAATACACTAGAATGTCGAATGTCAGTAATTTTTACAGTAGAATGTCTGATATCCGAAATATGAACAGTTGAATGTCAGACATCTGAAATAATTACTATTTATTTAATTGAAAACTTTATTGTAGAATCTTATTCTGCGGAAAACCAAAATTCTTTAATGATCTCTATATCATTTAAATACTTTGACGGAGACAAATTTCAAGATTCATAATGAAATTGTAGTAAAAATCGCGTGAAAATACCGCATTAAGATCATCCTTGTATAAGCTGAAATACACACAAGGATAGCCGAGTTATAGGCTAATTATGAATTTGCACTTTCAACTTGAATACAAGATTAACTGATCTCATATTGATGGGAATATTTGATTAATTAAAGACATAATTAAGGATAATATTAATCCGGATTCACAAGGTTCTATTCTAACATAATGTTTGTTTGACAGTGACGTCACGTAGATTTGTTGTGTTCACATGTTGTCATTTGTTTACCATTTTCAGTCCAAATATTCCATTTACCTTGACAGCAGTGTGGATTAGAGCTCACCCCCCTGTAGTCGGCATGACAACAGTCTCTTCAGTGTTGCTAAGCGACAATGCAATGCATCATGGGAGAACTTGAAAGCCAGGCAGGACCGGAAGCAAGAGAGACCATTTTTGAAGCGTGTCAATCGTTCCAACGATAGTGGTGCATTGTTTTAGGTCAAAGTTCAAAGTGCTTACGTCATTAAGGTGTGGTTGATCCTCGCATAGGTGTAAAAGGATTTTCATAATTATTTGATCATATTTACGAACTAACATTTTGCTACAGCATGCTGCAAATGAACAAACGTGTGGTCGCGCTAAAATTAGTAATAGACGTTTTATCTCTGATAACACTATAAAACTAAACTATTCATGGTGTTTCGATTGTTTGGAATTTAGCATTTTATTCAAATCTAATTTTAACACGCAAAATTAAAACTCATATATCTTCTTTCTAGCTCTAGCTCTATATCTTCACTTATCTCTTTATCCTACACGTATTTATTTATTTATTTATTTATCTGTGTATCTCTTATCTTTCGGACTACCTCGGTTCGTTTCTTTAGGATGACCTCGGGTCTTTATGTTCCAGATTCACACAAAGTCACATGTATTTCAGGCGCAGAAATAAAATGTTGAACAAAGCCAAGACTTTGTCTTTTCTTTTTTTCCACCTTTTACTTATATTTAACATATCTAAATATATATTCTATTTCCAACTCTAACGTTACATCTTATTTGCATATTCATAAATATGCTAATTTAATTGCTTAACGAAACAAGTTATTTTGTATCTATCAAAACAAAACAGTTTACACAAACACATATATGCTATATTTTATCAATTTCATGTCTTTAGCTCGAAAACATCTTGCAATTTTGTCTTTATCTTAATATCTGAGGTATCAATTTGCATATATACATATATATATATATATTCTGTCTAATATAGTATGACGAGTTAATTATGCGGAACGATTTGCATGCTTCATAGAATCTCTCCTTCCGTTCCTGGCTGCTGTCAACGCCTCGTCATGCATATTCATCAAATACGACTTAATTTAAATATTATGTAAATCAGCATGCTCATTATTATCATTGTTTTGCCTTTGTTGTCCCTTGCACCATAAGTGTATATTGTCTGCTGGTATTCATACCTTGTATACTTAACCCGCTCATAAATGCTTTGCTTTTAATGTTGGTTAATTGTATATAATCGATTTATTCCTATTGTTGTGCATGTTAGTGTCCAGACATAAAGGTAGTAAGGTTGGCATTGATTTGATAAAAGCAAATTCAGGAATAAAAAACGACAAAACAAAAAGTTTTCTTTTTCACAAAATTTCCTCGCGAATAAAAAGATTTTTTCGGAAATTTCTGTCTGCAATTCAAACAAAAAGTTAGGAATAGAATAGAAGACTAGGAGTAAGTTACTCAGTTAATTTTTAGAAAGAGTTATGGGACGTTATCTTCTGATTTGACCATTGACCAAAATTAAAATAGGGGAAAAATACAAGATTTGATTCGGAATTCTGAATGAGTTATATCCATTATGCTCTATATGACGTAATATTTTCTGTAAATATTCAAGTTTGTTTTAATCGTGTATCACTTACTGCTATTGGTGATAAAATCAGTATTGTATTTGATGTTAGATTGTCAGCTATAACACACTTAGTGATATACTACAGCTAACGCCATTTACTGATATTAATATGTACACATATACATTTTGGTTGAATAGTTATGCTTTATACAGCCATGCTGCTTTCCTAACTCCAATTCATGGGAGAGCTAATCAAGTCTTGTAACAGATTAATAGCGTCACACAAATGATCACGTGACAAGTTAGCTCAATATGTTTGATGTAGATCTAGATGTACGTACATACTTGAACACAGTAAGTAGTGAAACAACTAACACAATTTGTCATTACTATGTGCAAAATACGTCATAAGTATTTACATATTACGTCACGATGCTCTACGCAATAAGTCATTACGATATACACAAGAAAATATGATGTACACACCAGGATGCATAAGAACACAAAAATCTGATTACATCAGTCGAATAAAATAAAAGGATTTCACAGTGTAACATTTACTGCGAGATATCACCCGCAAACACATTTTTTGTAGATGTAGACATACAATGAAAATGTTCATAACTTTGAGGTAATCAAGTTAGAACAAAAATTGAATATTATAATATTTTCACAGACACCATTTAAAAAGTACAAGAAAATAACTCAGTGTTCGGAGACATAAATCACCTACCTTGTTCGACGACATCTGTCAAAGTTTAGATAAATCAAAGCAATTTAGCATTCTCATATGACAAGATGTATAGCAACGAAACCAAGAGGCATGTCCAACGACCTGTTGACCAATCTTCGACGCCCTCTTCTAAAAACACATTTCTTCGATAAGAGGTTTTGCTTTCTCCACTCTCTACACTACGCTTGTTATGAGAGCTTTTTTAAAGTAATGTGAGTGGACGTGCCAATCTGTTGTTATATAAGGACAAACCAACCAGATATATTATAAGTATAACGCAATTACAATCATGCACGTTGGTTGCAGCTAATCAAACAAAAATATAACAAATATGTATGTAAAAATACTTTAAAGCTGGTTACAGCGGCAAATGCAGTGCCGTAAATGCCTATGTTAAACTACAGATATTAAGAGCTATGATAGAATACCTGATGCTTACATTCCACAGGGAGTATATGATGTTTTAGATGTTGAATTTCACTGCCGAGATATGATAAATATTTTTCCCGAAGAAATATTCAAATTCGCGTCATCTCTGAAAAAAAATCACACCAGCTTGGATTATCTTCTTCCGTGTCTGCAACATTGTTATGCCAATTCAATTACAGCTCATATTTTTGTTTCCACATCTAAACAAAATTATGATTAAACTAAATATCATTTAACCGATGACAAGAATTTAATAA